GGATCAGCACTCAGTTTGGGGATGGTGATGGAACCAGCAGAGAGTGTAAATAGGTCTTACTTAATCTGTTCAAACGTGCAAATCTGAACTGCGTGTAAATATACAAGTAAGAAATTGTGATAGTGAATGATTGATACGAGGATATAGGATAAGTGAATACACCAGGAAAAAGTGAGCTATCACCACTGTTCAGCATAAAATTGATCAAAGTTTCGATTTGACTTGGCTCTTTGACGAGTGGCTCTGAGAGTGGTAAGACTTACTAACGATGCTGACTACGATGTCGGCAGAACGTCTGGGAATGTACCAAATCATAAATGCACTAGCAGAGGACTTTGGACAACGTGCCTCCAACTTGGTTGCTCTGACAACACGACTAGGTTGTGAAAACGAGGTCAGACCACTTCTATTAATCGAAAGGGGACTGCGATTAAATAGTGCTCACAACATATTGGTCTTCGTATGCCAAAAAAGATTCACTTAGACATAATCTAGAACTCCAGTCTTTCATATGTGAGGATTAGTCTACTCGTCAATATATAGATAAATGAGTAAATGATATGGCTTTGGGGATATAAGAGTGGTTAAATTTAAGTTGTAACTTGGCATACTGACGAATGTGAACATGCACGCATTTAAGGCAGGTTATTCCAATTTTAACTCGCTATTTAAGCCAATACATCATTAAAATTTGCTATTTTAACTATGAATTACTTGTGAGACCATTAGTATCATTGACGAGTTGTAGTGTGGTGCTAAGACTGGTGATGCTCACTGACAACACACTGTCCACAGTCCGACTCTGAAAATTATCATGCATACTATGGACTCCGGACTAGGTGCGTTCCTCTAAGTCTTCCCACCAATATGACCAAGTTGCGAAGACAAGGTCAAGCAAAGAAAAGTTGGGTTTCGAGGAATCCCTTGTTTCATAATTGTTGGGATTACTTCCATTTCGAGTAGAAGTGTTGGGTCCGTCATATGACGGACGAAAGCTCAGCACCCGTTCATTGGAATCGAAGGAGATTGCCTCGGAAACAGCGTCAGCATGAATCTTCCAGTAAAGCCAATCGACAGCT